ACTCCTGGGCAGATTATAGTACACTTTTCATCACGCTACGATCATATTAAAAACGGTCCATTTTTAAGCTGACGCGTGTGCAGACTTTTTAAAATGTAAAAATGTCCACCCGTGCGACGCCGGGACGGGCCACTAGTTTACAATATGATCCTATAGAAATTTTATCAAAATCGGTTAAGTCTTTTTTTAAATCAAAATAACTGGTTTTGCTACAATTGAAATCGATTCTTTTGTGAAATGCAATCTTGTTATAGAATCATATTTACTTGTGTTTATTGTGTTTTCTACTATAATATTTTGGAGCGAAAAATATAGTGTTTTTTTTATACGACTTAGAATGGCAAACAAGCTGACGGCCCATCTGATGGAAAGTGGTAACCGTCGCCTATAGACACGAGCAATACCATGGACATAACAGAGTTTTTCGTCTTTCCTGAGGACTCAGGTGTTATTCTCTGTACCCAGTGTGCGGCTCACCTGTTATACTACCGATGATCACAAAACCAGCGGCATTGCAGGTGTGCTGCCGGCCTTTTAAAAAGGAATATACTCTTTTCTTGAAGGTTATGTTGTCGTATCGGTTCGGAAATACTGCTGCTGGAAGTTGATTCCAAAGAATGGTTGTGCGTGGAAGAAAGTGCCGCCACTCGTCCAGATGATTGGGATGAAACTTTAGTTTGTGGCGGGTTGTACGGTGGTGAAAATCAGCAGCAGGTATCGAACAATTCCTCAGAACACTCCCCATGATAAATTCGTACAAAAGATGCAACATCTCCGCAGTTTCAGTGGTAAATGGCGTTGACTATCGATAATTCGAACTTTGAATGCGGTCTAACGGAAGGAGTTGGTACCACAGGTGAGAACAGTATTCCATATGCGGCCTGACTTGGGCTTTATATAATTTCAGGCGGTATGAAATCGTCTCACCCTATTGAGTACTCCTAACTTTTTGGAAGCTATCTTAGCCTTCTCCTCCAGATGACCGCAAAACTGGACGTCGCAAGATATATCAACGCCCATTCTTTTTTTTTAATGGATGAAAATCTTTTTTGTGGTAAACGCGCAGACTTGTGTCTTTTTGGGGTTAAATTGGACAAGATTTTGTTCACCCCAGATCGAAACTTGATGGATATTTTTTCATCTATTCCGGCACTCATCGGTATGTGCCCGCGAGATCTTTGCCTGACCGGTATATAATGTATCTCCTGTACTGTCGTCTGCATAGCAATGAATATTACTTATCTGTAACATATCATTGATATGCAGAAGAAACAGAGTCGGAGATAGTACACAGCCTTGCGGGACACCAGCATTCAAAGGTTTTAAATCAGAGCATGCTCCGTCGACTACGACTTTAATGCTACGTTCCTTGAGAAAACTGGCGACCCAAATGCACAGTCTCGCAGGAATCAAATGAAGGTCATTATTCATGCCATATCATTCAAACCGAAACACAGCCATACAAGTGCTTCACGGTAGAAATACGAATGGGATAGAGGTACCCAAGCAATTGACTTTTGTACAAAGTCTCCCTCTGGTAAATGTGTCTATGAATAATAAGAATTGCCACACTCGTTTCGTTTATGTAAGCTCATTTTTTTTTAATGGATGAAAATTTTTATTGGTAAACACATTTTATTTTAATGTAATATCTCCCGGTTTAATTACGTGTAATTGGATCGAAGAAGCTCGTCTAGTTTCGGAATCAATTCGTGATCCTTAGTCATGAGCGGCTGCGACGCGAGTACGAGCCTGGTATGGTCACTCCGCCTGCACTGTCAATATAACGTATATTGACTGGGCACCAGTCAGGGATGATAAGTAGGAAGAATACAGTACAGGTCAGTTGGCCCACTGTGATGCATTTTACAAGAATTAACCACAATGGTTCCCATTGGAAACCGTATGGAGGTCGACATGATAGAACATATTGCTAGCGATGGGTCTGTTAGACACCTTTATTCACAATTCCTCCTGCACCCCTCACCCTTTACTTCATCAGCTTATCGGCCATTCTAAGTTGTATAAAAAATGTAAATTTCAATAAAATCTAGATGTTTTGCCTAAGTCTAACCTTGATCTCGTTTCGCAATATCGTGAATGCTCATGAAAGAGGGTCGAAGCCGCTTGATAGCTTACGATCTTACTACTTACGTGACGATTACGACTTTTAGCCGACTGCCGCAGGCAAAGAAAGGGTATTGTTTTAAGATGTAGCTAGAGATATTTCTCAGAGTACGTTTTGATCCGGTCATATTGAGACTTCTATAAAGAATGAGCTCCCTGCCGAGGTTTTCCCAAGAGACTACAGCATGGGGTTCTTTAAAAGGGGGGTAAAGAGGTTTCTTCAGGGTCGGCAGCGCGCGCGTAATACCTCTGGTATTGCAGGCGTTTATAGGCTACGGTAACCGCTTACCATCAGGTGAGCCGTATGCTTGTTTGCCACCTCAGTGGTATAAAAAAAAAAAGATAGTGTCCCATAAAAAAAAAATTGATTTCATTTGTGACAAAACCGGTTATTTTGATGTAAAAACTATCATTATCAATATATATATATTCTTTATTGCACTTAAACAATACATACGACGATTAGTTTAACAACTTGTTAGTAAGGGAGGACTTATCTCTGAAAGAGATCTCTTCCAACCAACCCAGTGTAGTTAGAGAGACAATAATTTGGGTAATCCAGTGCAGGAACGGTAACGGTAACAATAATGTAAATACACGAATCTGTATGTACAGATAAAAAAGAGTTTTCCAAATCGATTCACAACTGACGGAGTTATGGAGTGACAAACATAAAAAATAATACAACCGAATTGAGGATCTCCTTTTTTTTAAATTATTAATATTATTGTTCAAAGTGTGGTCCCGGCATAGAATAGGCCACCCCTTCCTTTCCCGTGGGTGTCGTAAGTGGCGACGAAGGGAAGGCGAGGGAAGGACAGCAGCGTCCCTCTTAAAACATCTCCAAAGTCTAACTGCGGTTGCTAATCCGCTTGCCAAGCGTGGCTACCATTGACAACCCTCCCCCCCATGGGGGAGGCATATGACGCTGATGATTGTTCAAAGATTTTTGGTATTACTTCTAAAGGATATTAGTACAAACCACAGGCGGGGTTATCATTCCATTTTTATCCATCGACAAAACAAACATAAATATGTATATTGTGTAGGAATTGAACCCTAACCAGGGTGAGACAGTATATTAAGCTATCATTATTGGCAGCAGCAGGATGCGATGCAGGTTGAATTGGACCGGGATACCGCCACTTTACTACGATGGAGTTCCAGTGGCATATAGCGAGAAGGTTAAGAACCTTGGTATCATAATGGACGGCACTCTATCTTGGACATGTCATATAAATGAGCTCAGTAGACGCATGCACTTTACATTTCACTCTCTCAAGCGACTTCAATACTTTCTCCCAGTAAATACTAAAATCATGCTCGCACAATCTCTACTACTCCCAATACTTGACTATGCCGACGTCTGTTTTTTGGATGTGACTGAGGAGCTTCTAAACAAGCTGGAACGATTACAAAATCTGGCCATTAGGTTCATCTTTGGTCTTCGTAAATATGATCACGTTTCTGCCTTTCGCAACCAGTTAAAGTGGCTTCCTATCCGACTTCGACGTGATATGCACATCCTTTCTTTCCTTTATAACATACTTAATAACCCCAATTCTCCTTCGTACCTCCGCTCTCGATTTAAATTATTACCACCACCAATCCGTCCTAAACGCTCCTGTCAAGTTCAGTCCAGGATTCTCGACCTACCTTTGTGTAGAACACATTTTATGGGCAACTCTTTCTCGTATCGAGCTGCCCAATTATGGAACAAACTCCCTTCCCACATACAAGAGAGCCCTTCAATTACCTCTTTCAAGAAAAGGTTGAAGTTACATTTTCTTTCCTTTGAGTCATAATTTATTTATTTTTATAATTGAACTGTCAAACTTTGAAATCATTGAACTAAATTTCTATTCAAATATTCATTTATTTTAACATCCACTGTATATTGTATATGTATTTATGTAATATTTTATTATGTATCTTAATATTTTATTTAACTGTATATTTGTTTATGTACATTAAATATTAATAGTTGTAGCACTTCAGCTACCCGCTAGCAACATGTTTTCTAACTGCATTGGGTTGACTGGAAGAGATCTCTGTCAGAGATAAGTCCACCCTTGCTCACAATATTTATAAATGCATTAACATTGTAATTTACAAGTGCAATAAAGAATATATATATAATTAAACTGCCTCACCCGCTATTGGAACCCAAGTTTTATTTGACAAACCACTTAACGATATAACTACCACCCACGTACCGACGTCATTTATCACAGACATTCCATCAAGGGCACTCCCTTTACGCTAAATTGCCCCTATCTTATCTGTGAACCCACAAAACTCTATTATCTATGGTAAAGTTTTATTGGTTCAGTAATTCTTCCAACAAAATAGTGAATAGTAGTATATGACCACTCAATGTATCCCGCTCTATAAAATGTTGTATTATTTCATGATTTGGTAGGCCCATCTGTGTACTAAGTTTCATTGAAATCGGTTCAGCCATTTAAGTTTGTATTATCTAGACATCTTAAAGGTTGTGGCACTTTATAAGGTAAATTAATAACATCATTCTACGAGATTGTATTGAATATTTTCACAAAGAAAATATGTCGTAAAATTGTAGCATGAACATCGTAATCTGTAATTGTTACAAAAAAATCTTCAAATGTAAATGTTGCCACGGCATTGCCAAAACTTTGGGAAGAGGTGACAACACTTCTGAATTATTGTACAGTATACTTTGTATTTACAGAGAAAACATACATAGAGCTAATAAAAAAGCTTATTCGATCCTGTAGCAGTATTATCTCACGATTTGGCGTGTACTACATCAGCATTTCATAGTGTACTATAATTAAACATGGTGACTTCCTCGAAAAGATTGTATTTTCATGTGAATACATCTCTCCGGTCAGTAGTCGTGCCATACTTCTGATGGGCTGACGCTCGCCGTCACAGGACTCATCCTATGTGCTCGGCAATATTGCGGTTTTAATTTTTTTTTTATAACCTTTTTATTTACGACACTCCTATTCGATTGTCTATGACAGTTACATATTCTTCGTGAAGTGTTTCCAAATTAAGAACGTGAACAGCTGTCGCACATGTCAAATAGTTTCTCAGCAGCCAGTGTTTCGAATTTCGAAATGTGAAAACGGATCAGGAAGCGTTTATGAAAATGGAACGACGCGTGTCATTTCGCTTTCGTCGGCCCGCGAAAGTGTCTGTGTTGTGTCCATTTTTCCTTGATCTTTACTAACCCATTAATGGTCTTTGATTCTGTGTGGAGAATATTGTTTTCAAGGGACGAGACGGGTCTACTTAAGTTGGTGTTTATTCTTTGAGGATTTGAATGAATTCTTGACTGGTTTCATTTCCTTGTTCTATATTATCTGATTTATTGTTGATCTGTGGATTTACGCGATTTATGGACTTGTTTATGTAATAATAACATTTAAAATAATATTATTTTGCGAAATGCTATATGACCTTAAAATACGGAACAACAAATACAACTATTAAATTTATCATTTTAAAAAGTAATAAATATATACATATGCATTTTTCGAATAAGGATTTCAGAATGGACACATTTCAAATTTGCATTTCATAAAATTTTAGTCTACATCTTGTGATCGCTGCATAGACAAGTGGTATGTTTTTTTTTTTTTACTACACTAAGATATCATCACATTTGTAGCTTATTTGTGTCATTTCCTCATACTTGTCAGTATTTCAGGTGACTAATTTGGCCGAGACCCAAGAGACCACTCTTACATCATAGATCAAATATATGACTATTCTATTGTTTATTTTTGTTATAGTCTGAACTTTTGTATGTAGTTTAGTTGGTATTATCACATTTTAGGTCATAACGTCTTTTAAAGTAAAATCACATAATACTTACGAGTCCTAAATTTTACTTTTTGGTTAAATAAACTTCGTATACGTTTTCATAAATTGCATGATTTGGATGTTCGAAATATAATTCAAGTTCTATACTAGTCTTTTTTTAATTTAACATTATTTTGAATTTCAGTGATCTTTAAAATGGTTTTAACTTCAAAATTGTTATTATTATTATTGTCAGTAATGAAATTGACGAATTAATTTAGTTGCTATTTTCTTTTTCAATGCAATGCTAAAAGAATTACAATTTATAACTTTTATACGTTTTTTTTTCTATTCCAATTTTAATATTCGAATTTCATTCGATATTCGAATTGGCGAATTTATTTATTATTATTTTTAATTGTTTTGAAATGCAAAAGGAATACAATTATAATGCCAAAAATGCTCGTATCCGCGGCTACGTTTTTCCGCTCGAATCTGTTTTAAATAATATTTTCAAGGCAATGCCCGTTTACAAACGTTGTTATAAGTTGAACGCCACCAGATATAGATCGGCGTGAGTCACTCGTGTTAGTTATTTTATTCTGTCTGCCACTGTTTTGTTTTAACTATTTATTTCTGTATATATATTTTATACATTGTTTTTTTTTTGCAACCTAGAATGGCAAAGGAACTGACGGTCGTCTGATGGAAAGTGGTAACCGTCTACCACAGATAATATAATACTATACTAGTACGTCTACTATAGGTATGGACAGTACTATGGACATAATAATATAGACATGATACCCCTCATGCGTTGCCAATCCTGAGGATTAAGGTGATATGCCTCTGTACGCTGCAATTTACAATTTTTATTTATTTATTTATGTACTGCATCGTTTTAGTATTTTTTTTTTATGTTTGGAATTTATTCTTAACAACTGTTGTCAATATTGAAAATTTGACAATGGAGTCGATTTTAAAGCTTAGTTTAGATTTTACTGTATATTTCATTAAAATTAAAATTTCAATTTGATTTTATAGCGAAATGATCGTTTTAAGAACCATTACAAACTTAAACTAGAATTGATTTACGTTTAATTCTCTATGGTCCATACCATAATATCTTTGATAAATCATTGAATTAACACTAAATCTACCGACTTTTAATATATACCTAATCCTACCATGAGCGGACAAATGACCGCTTTAAAATAAAGTATTTTTTTTATGTCTACCAATTTTCTATTTCATAATTAACGACAGTCAACAACAATTGCTAGACAACAATCACTGTGTGATGTCACACCGCATCATAGTGTTAGACTAAACAAAAAGTTCTAACACTACTTGCAATTCTATTCTATAAGTTGAGGATAGTAACTGCAGTTCAATATCCCTGACTAGGGTTGCCATCCGTCGTAGTTTCCCCGGATTTGTCTTAGTTTAGAGGGCATTTTTTTTTGATGGGTGTAAATGGTATGGTAACCCCTGCCATATAGCCTGCGCTAACGGGATATGCTGGCGGAGGTCAGAAAACAGGTCAGTTAGCCCATCATGATGAATTCATCAGGAATTAACCATGATAGTTTCCAGGAAGAACCGCGAGGATGTCGACCTGGTCGGGTATATTGCTAGCAATTGGATTCTCAGTCTCCATTACTAACAATCCCTTTCCCCCCAAAATAAAGTATTGTATCTTAATATAGAAAGAGATTTTAGCCAATTGGATAGTGAACAAGTAAACAATAGTAAGTTGTAAATATTGAAAAATGGATTGTATGTATATTGATTGTGGGAAAAGTCAATAAGTTATTTATTTATTTATTTATTTACACATACACTGAACAATTTTTTATATTAATAACATTCATTAGATACAATCTCTTTTTAAATAATATCATTAGTTAAATACCAAAGGTTGTTTGGAAGAGATTGCTCAGCGATAAGGCCGCCTTTTGTATCACTTCTCATTAATATTTACTGTATTTGTGTCTCTCTTTTTTATATAATTATATAAATAAATACAATTATGTAGATAATATAAATTATGTATGACAAAACAACATAATAATGAAGTTTACACAATTATATAAAAACATTACTATTTTACTTTTAATTTTGAATAAAAAGGAATGTAGCAGTGTTTGTGCAATAAGCATATGTCGCAGTTTCAAATCTGAAGCTACGACACTGATTTTCAGTAGGCCCTAAATACGTAACTCACGGACACATGTGTGCAAAAGATGTAATGTATAAATATATAAGAATAAGTTACATGGTGATACAGTAACTTATTCTTCATAAGTCATTTGACCGCGCTTGGTAGGTTTAGTGTTGAAACTGCAATTTTTGAAATCAGTTTAGGGAATGTTACCTCAGAAACGAGCCCATTATGCAATACCGATTGGGTTTTGAAAATTAAATATTTTTAGACCATCAATATGGATACTCTAAACTTCTCTATTTAACCCTTATTTTGATATTGTTCGCTACACTGAACACAAACTTTGAAAAAAATCCAAGTCATTCAAATTTGTAATTTATTTATGACAATTAAGTTAAATACCAGATGGAGACTTTGTACAAAAGTCGATTGCTTGGATATCTCTGTCCCATTCGTGTTTCAACCGTGAAGCAGTTGTGTTTGCATGGCTGTATTTCGGTTTGAAAGGTGAAATATGGCGTGAATTTATAGGGTACAGAGGAAAAACATCTGAGTCCTCAGGAATGGCAACGCATGGGGGGTATCATGGGCGAAACAGTACACTCTGTTATGTTCACGGTACTGCTCATGTCTATAGGCGACGGTTACCACTTTCCATCAGGTGGGCCGGCAGCTTGTTTGCCATTCTTAGTTGTATAAAAAAAAAAAGTTTAAATTATTTGGCAACTTAAAAATTTTAAGTAGAAAAAAAATATTAAAAATTAAGAAGATTTTTCGTTAGAAAACATAGTCGTATATTGCGTAATATGCAATATACGACTATGTTTTGTAACGAAATAAAGTTTAATTTTACAATATTGTTTTATTACCTTAATTTGGAAATGTCCGCCACAGAGGGCATGTATTTTCTCCAAAAAGGGAAGAACAGAATTTTTTTATTATTTTTGACAAGGTCCTTAAATATCCTAAAACATATATTATTCATAAAATAAAAAAAAATATAAGTTTTTCTTTTCTACCAAATTAAGGGTTACAATATTTATTTATTTATTTTTTTATTATTTATTTTTATAAGGGGTAACAATATTTATTTATTTATTTTTATAGCTATTGTATACACTAATAATACATAAAAATATGACAGAGGTAAGCAAATGTATATAAGGCATATTTAACTCAACAAGATATATAAATTTATATATTTATTTAATTATTAATTGCCTCAAAATTTCATAAATGACTGATAGGTAGTGAACGGGCATAGAGTAAGAGTTTTATTGCTAAACACTATTTTTCAGATAATCTCTGAGTAGAAGGAATAATTATGTTTAATTAATATGTATTTAACATCTCTCTTGCCATTTTCTACAATTACCACTTTCCATCAGATGGATTGTCAGTTTGTTTGCTATTGTATCATACAGATAAACTATAGAAATGTCTGTTGATGGTTCATGAGTAGGCATTTCTGTTTGTATTGGTCTGGGTGTTTTCCATCAATACGATTTTATTATAAATCGTAACTGGTCGCTGAAGTCGCAGAAGATATGTAAATAAAAAAAATAAAAAAAACTATTACAGGAGGGCTTTATGAACGCAATAGAACCTAAAACAATGATTTTTAGATTTTTTGTCTGTTTGTCTGTACGTTTGTACATGCTAATCTCAGAAACGGATTAACTGAGGGCCTACCATGAAATGTTTTCCGAAATTTCGGATCCGAACGAAACAAAAATTTGATGCTGAAATTACATGATACGTACCGTTTAAAAATATTAAAAATGCTAAAATATCGTTCCTTTGAACTTTTATGGTAGGATTTATGACAAACGAAATGTTAAGCTCCATTTACAGGGTCGATTTTGGTACGAACAAAAGTACGAAATGGAGCCCGAAAATTCGGAATTTCATTTCATGGTAGGCCCCCTGTTTTAAATGCGTTTTTCACTAATGCGTTACGGTTTGCTCCAATTAACATTTAGTGTTTATTTTATTTCAATCGGTTCATAAATAAAAGAGTTATATCAATCTAAAGAATCATATATAAAAAGCTATAAAATAACCGATTAGTTGAATAGGCTGAAACTTTTTTATTATATTTATTGATTTTCGAAATTATGTCTACTCGTGCGAAGCCGGGTCGAATCGCTAGTGCATAGTATGTGTGTACTTACAAAAGGATTTTTGCAAATGCCTGTTGTCTAGTACTGATAGTCCAAGCTCTGCTTAGTTTAAGTCTAGCTGGTGCTATGTAATAAGCCCAAAGGATTATTAGATCTTTAGCCAATTGAATTTGATATTGTTTTGGTATCGTTGCGTTGGATTATACTCTGAAACTTGCTTCTAATTTAAAGATCAGTCGTGTACGTACCAAAATAAACAAATAACACACGGTTTCTTGCAATGTGCATCGCAGCCATCTTTTTTTTTAGGATTCTAATTTCGAACGTGGCCACGCGCCAGTCCGCGCGTGCGCACCCAATAGTGCACTCCCGAGCTTGCGGTTGGAATTCTCTATTTGAATTTATATCCCTTTCCTTGCCAACGCTTTTTATTCATTACTTTTTTTTATTTGTTTTACGGTTTCACTAATAAAATTTAATAGTTAGTAGATTTTTTGTTTACAATAACAGTCTTTATGTGGTCGATGTTTATGACACCACCGTTTGTAGTGCGACCAAATACCGCATACATTCATGGTTTCCATTGGTACAGAATACCTATGATATTTTTTTAATGAACAATCAAATAAACTAATTTTAATACTGGCAAGTTACGGGATGTTACGTTTTAATATTGTATTTCTCATGTTACCTTGTAAATGCAGTTTTTTTTCTATCGCCAATCGCAGAGTTTGTCTAAATTAAATTTATTATTAGGTACTTACCTAATTGTGTATTTTAAATTGTCTAGTTTCACCCACAGATACGTATAGGTTTTACTGGTAAATATAACAAAACTCATTACAATAATTGTAAATAACAATTTTGTTGCTTTTGTAGTTCAAATATTGTTTTGCTTTTGTGTTCTCACCAATTTCTCACACACATGTGCACAGATTTCAAAATTTGGTCGTAATTCTAATCGGGTTTGTCATTCTTTACAGTCTACAAATAGGTCTTATTAACGCGTTGTACTATTTATCAAAAATACCAAATCAACACAACATTAGTGTTCTTATTTTAAAATTTAAAAAGCTACGTGCGTCGTTTATTCTTTTTTTAAAAAATGTTTCTAGCCATTATTAATTTTTCTAGAGCCCACTCATAGAGTCCTGTACCGGCCAGAGACAGCACTTAATCCTTTGTAGTTCAAACAAAGAACGTTTCGGTGTTACACTGATAAAACTACGCCCAGTGATAAGTGCATTCTTGAGCGTGAAGTCGCTTGAAACTTTAGTGTGAAATTAAAAAAAAAAAAGACAGTGACTTATTAGTTTCAAGATTTTAGTGTTTATGTTTAATCTAGATTTATATGAAAATGGGGAAGAAGAAGAAAAATAACTGCAAAAAGAGTGGCAACAGGTTCTTCCGGTGGATGAGAAGGTAATTAAAAATAATAAAGATAATCACGAATTATATTTCGAGTGAGTGAGTTTACTGTGACTAATCAAATAAAAACAGAGATTGTGTTATTTAACACTGCATGGTGATGTTCAGTGATTTTTTTTAATTAATAATAAAAAACCATAGAGTAAAAAAGTTATAAAAAAATGCAGACTTACGTAAATCCGCTCAGTTTTTAATAAACATCAAAAAAACAGTTGCATTTATGATATTACTAGCTGACTCAGCAAACGTTGTTTTGCCATATAAATTGTTTCTAGCGAAAAATTTTTCAGATGGGCCACCCTTATCACTTAGGGGTATAAAAATAGATAACAACCTATTCTCAGACCTACCGAGTATACATATAAAAATTCATTAAAATCGGTTAAGCCGTTTCGAAGTAGTATGACAACTAACACTGACACGAGGATTTTATAAATGTAGATTGCTCAAAATTGATTCATTCATTGATAGTGTGCACTAGCAGTTTCTCGCGGCTTTGCGTGCGTACGTTAACATATAAAGTATCCTCTGTATTAAGTTAGGAAGTTTTGACCGCTAGTCCAATGACAAGAGGCTGGTGTATTATATGGTTGGATGTAGATTCTGCATTGGGACCTTCTGACCATAAGTTATTAAGTTTTTTTTTATTCTCTCTCTTTCCCTCTCTTCCATCTATGTATATTATATAATTTTTCCACGACATTCCTTTCGTTTCTGTTCTTTGATTTTGCAGAGGTTTTGATTGGTATAGTAAATTCAATGAGGTCTGAAAATTTACCTACGATGGGACTGATATGGCTAAAAGGATAAACAAAGATAGATATATAATTTATTTGCATTACTCACAAATAACAATAGATATATACACAAAAAAAATTTAAAATGTAAAATAAGTAACATAATTATGTTACTTATTTTACATTTTACTATGTTACTTATTTCATTTTTTAAGTGTGTCACAGTAACACGAAATGGTCATATCTCAGTTTAACAATAAGATAATAAAAAAATAGTTAGGAATTACTAAACGTGTACTTAATTTCATTTAAATCCGTTTAAGCTTGTTTTAGTAACAAACATATAAATAACTTGTAAATTTTTACTCCAATTTTAGTGGGATTTAGTCGATTTTGGTACTTCGCACGCGTATAACCATTCCTGAGTTCTAAGCTGTCAATTGAAATCATGTCTAACGTAAATATTTGGGGGGAAAGGGATTGTTAGTAATGTAGATTAAGAATCCCATTGTAGCAATATACCCAGCCAGGTCGACCTCCTCGCGGTTCTCCCTGGAAACTATCATGGTTAATTTCTTATGAATTCATTATGATGGGCTAACTGGCCTGTTTTCATTCTCATCGATCACCCTTCACTGGTGCTCCGCCAGCGTATCCCATTAGCGCAGGCGGGGTTACCATTCCATTTTCACCCATCAAAAAAAAACGTAAACATTCGGTAACTCAAAAATAACGAACTCTCTGAAACATATAGCGCTTAAGGATATAAGTGTATGGTGTAGGCATGGGTAATGTTGTAAAGATCCAGTATCTATTATTATACTAGTATTACAAAGAGGAAAGATATGATTTTTGTGTTTGTTTGTTTGTCATAGATAAAATAAAAAATATAGCAACCGATTTTAAAAATTCTTAAGCAAGTAAAATTTTTTTTAAAGTGTGATATTGGAATGGTAACCCCGCCTGTGCTATCGGTATACGCTGGCGGGGCACCAGTGAGGGATAATAGGTGAAGATGAAGGCAGGTCAGTAAGTCCATCGTGATGAATGCGACAAGTATTAAACACAATGGTTTCCAGGGGGAACCACGTGGAGTTCGACCTGACAGAGTATATCGCTAGTAATGGGACTCTTTGACCCCATTACTAACAATCCCTTGCCCCCCAAGAAAGCTACATTATTAACGAGTAACACAGGCTGTATATATGTATATAGATTCCTATTAAAGTTACATCATCATTTTCATCATCATTATCATCATATGGAAGTACTAAACCTGAGTAAGCACGTGATTGATATATGCAATTTGGATGGACGCACCACGGACATCACAGAATACACTGTAACGCCAAGCAATATATGTGACACAATCGTTATGTGTCGGCACGTCGCACTTCCGTTGCATTACATATCGAATAGTCTAGAATCTAGGTTTTGGACTGCGCCAGTGGCAAACAGCCAACTGGCTGTATTTCAGGCTGATTTCAAAGCCTTTCCAAATGTACTGATGCGGCATTATTTAAGATTTTGCTCCACAAATACGAGTAGATTGTGTTGTGTCCCACAAACAATATTATTTTGTTTTTAAAATTATTGAACCGATTTTGGTAAAATTTCTACAGAGCCAACTCTAAGTATATCCTTTCAGATAAAAAAAAAAAAACAAAACTCAAAATTGGTTTAGAACTGACTGAGTTATAAGGTAACAAACATAAAAAAATACAACCGAATTGAGTGCCATTTTTTTTGAAGTCGGTTGGAAACGTAACATTGTGTAAATTGGCTCAGAATTGGCGGTGTAATTGCGTAATAAAGAATTTAGATAAATTGTGAACCTCGTTTTGGGAAACGTGCTGATCAACTATGAGATCCTTCCCAAACACAAGTCTGTAATGAAGGAATGTATAGCTATCCCGCTGCCTACTTCGGAAGATATAAAACTTTTTAATGATACTTGGTTTCATGTACTTGTTATGGAAAAGCTTGATGGGGAATCACTTCACATAACATCAGCTTTAACCTGTTCATTACTAAACATAGGACAATAGAGTTTTTCCACATTTGCCAGGCCGGTTGGGAACCGCTTTGGTACTATTTTATGAGTTTTGAAAAGGTGGAGTTTTTTAAACAATTTAAAATGGCAAATTCACTGGTACCTTGTCAGTGTATACCGATAACGCAGACGGGGTTACCATTCGCATATCATTAGCATCCAATAAAAAAAATACTATATAAATATATCTATATCTATCTATATATATATATATATATATATATATATATGCCGTGTCCGAGTCCTCAGGAATGGCAACGCATGGGGGGTATCATGGGCGAAACAGTATACTCTGTTATGTCCATGGTACTGCTCATGTCTATAGGCGACGGTTACCACTTTCCATCAGGTGGGCCGTCAGCTTGTTTGCCATTCTAAGTTCTATAAAAAAAAAAAAAAAATCTACAATCAGGCCTAAGGTATGAGTGGGCGAGTTGCAGGACTGGTTCCGTTGGGTATACCAACCCACACGGCGTCACGGATTATTGCAATATTTGGTTCGTATACTTTATTATTACTTTTAAAACGCCTATGAGGTCTAGGCTCTAATTTCGAATGTAATTTTAAGCAACTTCAAAATAGAGGTTATGTTTACGCTAAATTCCTCATTTGAAACTGACTAAACATTGCACTGTTTAGTATATTTATTTATTTATTTATTTATTTATTAGTACAATTATATGTACATGGCGGACTTAATGCTAAAAGCATTCTCTCCCAGTCAACCATAGGGAAGTGTCAGAATACTCGAATGCGGTACTACTAATTATTGATATACATATATACTAAAATTACATATATAAACGAATAAATATATATGAATAACAAATATACTTACACATATATGATATATACTATATTGTACACGAATTTGGGAATAATATAAAGCACATTTATAATAGGTTTTAGTTATTAGATATAGGTGTTAAACAAAAACTTTATTTAGCGATGTATTTTTTTAAATGGTGCAATAAACATATGCAAATATTGCCGTGTGGTCTCGGCGTAGAATAGGCCACCCCTTCCTTTCCCGTGGGTGGCGTAAAACGCGACTAAGGGACGGCGAGGGCTGGGCAGCAGCGTTCCTCTTAAAATATCTCCAAAGCCTAACTGTTGTTGCCAATCCGCCTGCCAAGCGGAGCAACTACTGGCAAAACCTCCCAAGCAGTGGACAGTAAATAGCTGGTGATGATGATGAAATCCCATCTGCAGACATTGTCTAATTACAATTTTATTATATCAGTAAGGTCCCGAATGATCGCAGCAACTGATGTAATTTCTATTATGCCCGTATGTGACCAGAAGGAGACTTTGTACAAAAGTTGTTTGCTTGGGTACCTCTGTCGCACTCGTAGTTATACCGTGAAGCAGTTGTTTGCATGGCTGTGTTTTGATATGAAGGGTGGGATATGGCAGTGAATTTACAGGGTACAGAGGAATAACAGCTGAGTCCTTAGGAATGGCAATGCATGGGGGGTATCATGGGCGAAACAGTACACGTTATGTCCATAGTACTGCTCGTGTCTATAGGAGACGGTTACCACTTTCCATCAGGTGGGCCGTCAGCTTGTATCAAGTTAGTACAGACTATATTATTTTCCATAGACTAGTTCAACAATCGTTGCTTGTGTAACGTTGGTAACCAGTGATTATAGGAAATCAAGTTTCCAACGCATCCTATCATTTGATAGGCTCTACTTAAATTTATAATCACGATGGCTTAGCCGACTTCCATAAATGGCTGGTGTTATTTCGTATAGGTATTTTTTCAAACGACTTCAAAAAGGAGCGGTTCTTGATTCGATTATGTTTTTTTTTTATGTTTGTCACCTCATAACTCCGTCAGTTGTAAACCGATTTGGAAAGTTCTTTTTTTTATCTGAAAGGATATACTTTCAGATTGGGCCCGTAGAATTCTTTCCAAAATTTATTCATTAGTTTAGTTTTAAAATTAAATTTACTGGTTTTGTCACAATTGAAGTCTGAAATGAAATTTGTTTATATATATATATATATATATATATATATATATATATATATATATATATATATATATATATATATATATATATATATATATATATATATAGATAGACTAAAAACTACTCAACCGATATTAAAAATTCTTTCACTAATTGTATAGAGAACGCTACATTATCAGTCATGGGACCACCATAGAATTTTTATCAAAACCAGTTCAGTTG